TTAAACAGCATTGGGGAGATGATCGACCCCTGTGGGACCCCACAATTAAGGCACCACGGGGCCGAAACATTCTCCCCAAGCTGTACTCTCTGGGGACGGTCCTCCAAGAAGGAACAGAGCCAAGCAAAAGCCCGGCCAGCTATCCCCAACTCGGCGAGCCTCTCCAGGAGGATACCGTGGTCAATGGTATCAAAGGCCGCTGAGATATCGAGGAGGACCAACAGAGACACTTTGCCCCTGTCAGCCTCCCTCAGTAGGTCATCACACAGGGCGACCAATGCCGTTTCTATCCCATGGCGCGGCCTGAAGCCCGACTGGAATGGATCCAGGGCATCTGTTTCATCCAGGAACGCCTGAAGCTGATTGGCCACCACCCTCTCGACTACCTTGCTTAAGAAAGAAACATTGGCGATGGGCCTATAATTGCCAATTTCATCCGCCGCCAAACTGGGATTCTTTCTTATGGGCCTAATGAGTGTTTGCTTGAGGGCAGAGGGAAATCTACCCTCAAGGAAAGACCCATTAATTATTACAGTAGCCCATTCTGTTGTTGAGGGCCTGGCTGCCTTGATTAGCCAGGCCGGGCAGGGGTCCAAAGAGGAGGTGGTGGCACGACAGCGATCAAGCGTCCTGGCCACAGTGTCGGGCGATACGGGCTGAAAAGAGTCAAAAGACACCGGGCAAGACGGAGCACTGGACATCTCAACTCGACTCACTGTATTCAAAAATTCAGCTTCCTGCTTCCCACAGAGTCCAGCCAGCTGCCTCTTGAAGTCAGCAGACGCTTCCTTTGTTGCTCCTCAGCAACTCCTAACGAAAACTGCAATTCCTCTGATGATGCAGGAATTGTGGCTCATAGCCGCTAATAGACCAGGTCCCCATGAAGTGACACATTTCCCACTAAAGAAAGGCTGCATCTCAAGATGCTGAAAAACTGTGTTTCTTTTATTCCCAAAGCTTATATTAGGAAAAGTAACTGGTGAGCAACTTCCAGAGGTCCAGGGGTGACATAATCTCTCCACATACTTTAGAGGCCATCTCACCATGTCCTTCAACACCTCCTGGACATTTGTCTTTCACTTCATAAAGCTCCTTAATCTGTCTCTTGAGGGTGTAGGAAGCAACCTTGTCCTTTTTCCAAAACCGGAAGGGACTAGGTATTACATCACATGGAGGGGTGTAAGTAGGAAAATTTGCTGAAATTGCCTTCACACCTCTGGAGGACATGAGAGGCTTTTTTATCTACAAATGTGTGTGCTGTTTTTTTTTCCCAGTGGCTGTTGTTGTTGTGGATCATGCATGTTTTGGAATACTGGAGAGCCATTCCGGGGGGGGGGGGCTCGAGGGGAACACACATGGCACACTCTGAAATGAAACCAATGAATTTCTTTAGCATCTTGAGATCTGTTCCATTTTTTATTAGAGATTATTGGTAGTTGTGCTCCATATTTTTTTATATGCATTATTCATGCAAGTTTTAAAAAAAAACAATCCCCACACAGTTCTATATCAGCCCTGTACAGAGTTCCTTATATTTTATCAAGGGATTGCTTCCTTCTAGGAAGATGACAGAAGGAAAAGTGGACGTAGTGACTAGTAATCTGTAGTTGTGGAAGAACCAGGGAAAAGGGGAGAGTTGGGCCATGAATGTGTGTTGGCATAATAAATGTACTGACTTTTGGAGATTCCATGAGGGGAGCATAATATGGCTAGTTCTGGGAGAGAAAACTCATCAAAGGTCACCGCAACGTTCCTATGACCTCTAATCATTTCCCCTTCTGTTGTCAGCTTCCGCATGAGACAAGTGAACATTGTAGGCACCAGCCCACCAAGCTTGCCTTCTCGCAGGATTCAGACGCTGCAGGCCCCCCCTGACATCGCTCCTGCCAATATTACGCTGCGAACAGCCAGTGAAACTAGCCTCTGGCTGCGATGGGTGGTAAGCAATGGCATATTAGGGGCCCTCAGCCCTAGAAGTGTCTCTGGAGGGAGAAAGAGGGAATAATGAAACAGCTGGGTTTGGGGGGATGTCAAACCGCAGGGGATCAGTCAGCCTGATACCGTTTGCCTAGCAAGCCAAACAAACTCTTAAAAGATGCATCTGAAATCAAGAAGATTGCAAGGAATCAGTTTCTGTCAAATTTAGATTACATGTTGGGCAGAGGTATGTAATGAGTAGTCATTGAAAAAAATTGGGTCACATTTTTTCTACCTTTTAACAGTGTAGGTGTGCCCATAGGGGCACTACCTAAGAACCTATGAAACATTGATCGTATCATAATAGCTGCCATTTTGAATCAACTGATTGTTCAAATTTCCTTTTCCTCTGCCAAAATGAGATTTTCCCCCCCCATGATATCATGCTGTGAATGGCCAATTCTTGCCGCTGCCAACAGCAATAAAAATACCACTGAGCCTTTTTTCCAGATATATATGCCACCACATTCCATAGTAAGCAAAAATTAGTGGAATTATAATTTCACCTGCTGGTTCTGCTCTGGTTCTGGGGAAGCTTTTCATGTCTATGCCATTCTGATCTTTATCTGTGGCACTGAGGCAGAGAAATTACCCTCATAATGAGATCTGGGTTTGTGGGGTTTTATTCAGTTTTTAAGATTTAAAAGAAAATGTGCAGTTATTTTCATTTCTTCCCCTCTTTCATATTCTTTTTGACCATTTAAGGTGTATGCTGGAGGGCCCACTTCAATATTTATCCATTTCAACTCAAGAAAGTTATTAAATGACTTTAAATTTAAAAAAACACCGTTTGATCACCATCTTTTAGGAAAATGATAATACATTTTTAAAAGGCATATCTTAGCTAGGGTTGGGAAAATGTGCCATCTCAGTATGGGGAGAGGCTGGAGGCCATAAATAGTATGGGGAGAGGGTGAAGGCCAGAAATACTCAGTGTGGGGAGAGGTTGGAGGCCATTAAAAAAATCAAAACAATCAGTAAAAATCTCCCTTTGTTTTCCAGCCCCTGCCAGAAACAGAGTACAATGGGAGCCCTGAGTCTGTGGGGTACCGGTTGCGCTATTCACGCCTAGATGGGCGCAGTCGCACACTGACCAACACCATTCATGACCGTATGGAGCGTGAATTCACCATTGAGGACCTAGAAGAATGGACTGAGTATCGTGTGCAGGTGCAGGCCTTCAATGCCATTGGGCCTGGGCCGTGGAGTCAGACCGTGGTGGGGCGAACTCGGGAGTCAGGTACCCTCTCCACCCTAGCCTTGTCACTAGGCCTTAAGGCAGTCTGGCATCCCTTCTCACAGCCAGCCTGGCCGCCCACCTGCCTGGCACTTTGCAAGTGGAGTTCTGGGCCACGTGTTGTCTTTTATAGAGCCCCCTCAGAAGAGCTAGTTACTCCTCCCTGTTCTTCTCTTTGTATATACAGTGCCTTCATCTGGACCCACCAATATCTCAGCCCTGGCTACTACATCTACCTCTGTGCTGGTGCGATGGAATGACATCCCTGAGGCTGACCGAAATGGGCTTGTTCTGGGTTACAAAGTATGCATCAGAAACACAGACCTTGTTTGCCAAAACAGATTAGACTTCTCATCATTTTCCACAGGCCCAGATGTAGAAGCCCCAATCAGAAGCCTTGAGTCAGTGCTTCTACATGCAGATCCCCTGCTATCTACGTCTCAGCTCTGTCCTTCTGGATCACTTGAGGAATTGGGACTTTGCAAATGGTTTTAGAGCAGGGAAGAGCAGGGCCCCTTAATAAATATTTTTAACCAGTTCATTTTGATGGTTTTTGCAGGCAAGCCTAAACAAGACAAGCCTTGCTTCTTTTCCCTCTCCCTTTTCCCTCCCTATTTGTGCTTGTTCCAAGCCTTCGGTAGTCTCTCCCTCCTATGTGTTTTTTTGTTTTCACCTCCCACCCAGTTCCATCTCATGCCCCAGCCATTTTCAAAGTGCCCAAAATTTCAGACTGTCCCCTTTTCTCTGCATAACTTTCATTGCACCACTGTTGCAGGAAGGACTACTTGATCAAAAGCTTCTGACTGGGGGTTCTGATCAGGCAGTGAACAAGTGGAACTCTTAGAAAGAAACATAAAAAACAAATTTTCTGCTGGACTTCTCTAGAACTAAGTTTTGTTTGGTTGTTTTTGTATTTTGGGATTCAGTTTATACTATGGGGGTGGAAACGAGTGCTATGCCAACTTCCCATACCTTCCAATGGGAAGTTGCCATAGCACTCAACTCTACCTTCATAACAAACTGAAAAAGGAAATGAACCATCTCTAGCAGAGAGGCAAACAAACCCCAAAAAACCCAGAAAGTCTCAGATTTTGTCACTGTTTGAACTCTTTTCCCTTCACCACTGATGTCCCATCCTTTTTAGGTGATGTACAAGGAGAAGGATTCAGATGCAAAGGCCCAGTTCTGGTTGGTGGAAGGCAATGCTTCACGGAGTGCTCAGCTGACAGGCTTGGGAAAATATGTCCTGTATGAGATCCGAGTGCTGGCCTTCACTCGCATTGGTGATGGTGTGCCCAGCCACCCACCCATCCTTGAACGCACACTGGATGATGGTAAATGTCCACAGTTATCTGCCTGCTGTTCAGATGGCCATACAAGGAAGGGAACTGCATTGTAACACCTGTAAATGTAAAAGATGTAAGCTTTCCAATTCCAATCCTCTAGAACTCTTCACCAGATTAGATGGTTGGGGGCAGGGGGAAAGGAGTGAGGGAGGACACTGAAGTAAAAAAGAAAAAATTGGCTAACCTTTTTGAGTGATGGAGTTCTGAACTAAAGTTCAGTCCCCAAAATGAAAAGTAGGCACTTGAGGAGTCAGATAAGCATGCAGGTGCCTCATGACTTCTGACAAAGCCCACCAGGAAGAAGGAGATAATATGGAGATTCCCCTTCTTTCAAACACAGCAGACCATAGCAGCTAGAGAAACTGCACCTGGCCGTGGCTGAAATACACTGGTTCCTGATAACACACATTGCTCGTGGTGTGGTCCAACTCAGTCACACATTATAGAACTACTATATTGTTTACTGAGATAATGTTTTGCATTATTATCTAAGTTTTGTTGTTGTTTTGTGGTCAAAGTGATTTATGCCAGGGCTTTTATTTGCATAGTCTATTCTCGGCTTCTGCCTAAGGATATGTATGTATGTATGTATGTATGTATGTATGTATGTATGTATGTATGTATGTATGTATGTATGTATGTATGTATGCATGCATGCATGCATGCATGCATGTCTTGATAGTGGCCCTTAAACCCCTGTTCTCTCTTGTCTTTCTGTATTCCAGTGCCTGGGCCCCCAGTAGGCATTCTCTTCCCTGAAGTGAGAACTACTTCTGTCCGGCTAATATGGCAACCACCTGCTGCTCCCAATGGAATCATTCTTGGTAAGCAGGTAGCTCCTACTCTTCATAGAAAAGGCAGACCAGTGTGGCTAAAGTGAAAAACCATTCTTGCTTTTTCTGTCTGCCCTATTGGATGTCCATCAGTGTCATTGGAGGCCTGACAGGAGACCAGTGTGGCTAAAGTGAAAAACCATTTTTGCTTTTTCTGTCTGCCCTACTGGATGTCCATCAGTAGGGCAGTCCATTGGAGGCCTGACAGAAGGATAAAGGGATGAACCTACATCATGATCTATGGGCCACTCTCACAATAGCATATCTTAGGGCAGTCCATTGGAGGCCTGACAGAAGGATAAAGGGATGAACCTACATCATGATCTATGGGCCACTCTTACAATAGCATATCCTCTCTTTAAATGGGCTCTACAATTTTAGTCACTTTCCCTTGAGAAGGACTTCTTCCACTTTGATGGCAGTAAGGATGGGTGTTAAGGAATGAAGGTCCCTTTCTGTCTGCATTTTCTAATAGCCTTTGCATTTCAATTGTTTGCAGCGTATCAAATCACCCACCGCCTCAACACGACAACTGCCAATTCAGCCAGTGTGGAAGTACTGAACCCCAGCGCACGCCAGTTTACTGCTACTGGACTCAGACCCGAGTCCACCTATCTTTTCCGTATCACAGCCCAAACCCGAAAGGGCTGGGGCGAAGCAGCAGAGGCCCTAGTGGTCACAACAGAAAAGAGAGGTAAGTGGCCATGTTGGCCTGGGTATCCTCAGAGTTGCAGTCCAAAACAAGTAACTTTTCGAAGCTCTGAACACTTTAAGCAGAATATAGAAGTTCTGAAAAAGTAATGCGGATTGTATTAATCATATATTTATCAGGGTGTTATCAAAAACTTTTATGAAACAATGATTGATCAGTTATTGTTGCTGTAGTCCCAATAGATCAGGGTTGCTCTAATGGTAAACCATTTTTTTTCAAGCAGTCGGGAAAAAATCAGGAAGAACATGAGATTTCCACCTACCCATCCATCTAATATTTCTATAAATATCGCATGGAATGTGATAAGAGCATGCATCAAAAGTATTTTTCTTACTATTTGAGCTACTGAAAACATCCCCATTATTTGTCAAGGATAAGATTGCTTAAGAATTTTATTATAAACAAAATATAGGAAAGGAACAATAAACTTCTCCTCATTTCCCCCACCCCCGTGATAAATTATCAACTTCTCTCATCAATTCTTATTTTATTTTTCTCTTGTTCGTTTTCTTTTCTTTGGCAGTCTATGTACTTCTAAATTTTTCCCCTTTAAAGAATAGAAAGAGTAGCAAACACAATTCAGCTGCAGAAGAACAATCCAACCTGACCTGTTTCATGCTGACAGAGTGCTGCTCTCTTTTAAACAAAGCTAATGGAAGCATTACTTGAAAATGCAAACATGCACCCCTTTATGACCTTGTCCCCTGTGATGAATAGTACCCCAGTGAATACACTGGAAATCATGTTGGAAGCTTTTCTCGGATTTCTAAGCTAATATCTGTTGCTATAAGCCAAAAAGTATATAAATTATATCAGATAGAGAAGTCAAAAATGTGTGACTGCACACCACCCACAAAGTCTATGAGGGGGCAGTGGTCTTTAGGATTCCTTTGGCCAAATGCAACAGGCATGTATTAAACTTCATTTAAGATTATTTCCCCTTGTGCCACTCCATATTTCTGTTATTGCCAATGTGTCCCATTTTCACCCCAAGCTTCTAGCCTTCAGTGATTTGTGCCTCTCTCACCCCACCCAGACCGTCCCCAACCTCCCAGCAAACCGATCGTATTGCAGGAAGATGTCAAGGCAAGGAGTGTGCTGTTATCCTGGGAGCCAGGCAGTGATGGGCTCTCACCAGTTCGCTATTACACTGTGCAAACACGGGAACTCCCCGATGAGAAATGGGTGCTACATTCTGCTTCTGTCAACCACAACATGACATCCTATGTAGTCAGCAGGTGAGACAGCAGCCGGTGGCTTGAAGGAAAGGCATTTATTGGGAAGGATAAGTGCCATTGTCAAGGAGACCTGTTCTGAAGCCCTGGTTTTGCCGACCAGTTTTGTGGCTGGGTTTGGAGCAAATCACGCAACCATCAGAATGTGCTCAGTTTCCAATTTGGAGGATGCCCTCTTAGCCGGAAGTGAGTTCTCCTGTTTTCTTCATAACTAAGCCTGGAGAATAAGAGTTAACCAATAAATGGTACAGTTTTCCCTTAAAAGCTTTTCCGCAGTGCTTAACAAGCAGGAGTTTTGGAGGAATACATTTTAAGAAGCCTTCTGGCTTGGCAACACAGGGGTGTAGCCTGAACGGTCATTGTGGTTGCATTTTGGGCTGTTCCCCTAAGTGTCACGTGATTTCCTTGCAGGCTGAAGCCCTTCACCACTTACAAATTCCGGGTTAAGGCAACCAATGACATTGGTGACAGCGAGTACAGCGAAGAATCAGAATCACTCACCACCTTACAGGCTGGTATGTAAACTCATCCGGTCATGAATGACTTCAGAAGGACATTCAGTCCCCCTCCAATCTTAGGAATATCCAGCACAAAAGGCATGGCCTAGCAAAGAAAGCCAAAGTAGTATACAAACCTACCTGGCCCAGTTCTGTCTTAGGTATTTACTAGTCCTGACATTAGCCCAATCACAGCAAATGCATATAAATTCATAATTTGGGGTGGGGGGATCAGGAAAGTGTATACCTCTTTCCTAATATCTAGTCACATTCCTACATTAATTAATTGATGAAAAGATTAGGCTTCATTATGGACAACAGAATTTAAAATAAAATACAAAAGACTAAGGGCAAAACCAGAAGATCAGAATTAACACTTAGTGCCAACCAGCACTACATACGCAGCAGCCTTGACAGAGTCCTTGCTCCATTACAGTATTTAGGTTTTTAGGCTTCATTATGGACAACAGAATTTAAATGCCATAAAATACAAAAGACTAAGGGCAAAACCAGAAGATCAGAATTAACACTTAGTGCCAACCAGCACTACATACGCAGCAGCCTTGACAGAGTCCTTGCTCCATTACAGTATTTAGGTTTTAGAGGCCTCTTGAGGGCCTGCAATGATGTTGTGCCTAGTGAACATCAAAAACGGCAAAAGTCCCACATGCAGGAAGTCCTCTGTACCTTGGGAATGCCAGCTGGATTGTTTTATGGGTAGGCGCTCTAGCTAGGTCTCTCTGATTCTGCTCTAGAATGGGGATAGTTCACAATTACAGTCTATCAGGTGACCTGAACTCACATTTCTTATGGTTTTAACAGCCAATACAAGTGCTTTAAATTGGGCCCAGAAAAAAAACTGGCCACCAGTCATTTGGTACAGTGTAGGTGTCGTGAAGCTCCATGGGCTCCATGATCACTGCAGATGGTAACAGCAGCCACAAAATTAAAAGGCGCCTGCTTCTTGGGAGGAAAGCGACAAGAAACCTAGATAGCATCTTAAAAAGCAGAGACATCACCTTGCTGACAAAGGTCCGCCTTGTCAAAGCTATGTTTTTTCCAAACAGAGTGGATGGAAGTGAGAGCTGGACCATAAAGAAGGCTGACTGCCAAAGAATGAATGCTTTTGAATTGTGGTGCTGGAGGAAACTCTTGAGAGTCCCCTGGACTGCAAGGAGAACAAACCTATCCATTTTGAAAGAAATCAACCCTGAGTGCTCACTGGAGGGACAGATCCTGAAGCTGAGGCTACAATACTTTGGCCATCTCATGAGAAGAGAAGACTCCTTGGAAAAGCCCCTGATGTTGGGAAAGAGTGAAGGCAAAAGGAGCAGGGGACGACAGAGGACGAGATGGTTGGACAGTGTCCTTGAAGCTACCAACATGAATTTGACCCAACTCTGGGAGGCAGTGGAAGACAGGAGGGCCTGGCGTGCTCTGGTCCATGGGGTCATGAAGAATCGGACACAACTTAATGACTAAACTACAACAACAGGTGTCATGATGTAATCCAGGTGTAAATTGATCAGGACAGAAATATGAAAGCAGTGGTTAAGACTGAAGGCAAATTGTGATAGATGGGAAAGGCTGGGTTAAAGCAGAGTTAAAGTGATCCATGGAAGGATCATGTATCTCTGGGGAAACTCAATGTCAATGCAACGCAAAGCAGAATCAGAGGAGACAAATAATCCTTGAGAGAATGGGAGCAAACCATACAAGCGGAACAGGTTATGTGGAGGGCAAGGTGAACTCTATAGCAGCTGACCCAAGTTATTCCCTGTCACAGACTACTCCATCATCAATAGTTGTCATCTTTATAATCACAAAACCCACAGGCACCTTGTAAAAACATGATTCCTGCGAACGGGAAGTGGCCCCTTGAACTTGTGTCCAAGAGGAAGAGGTTGTCGCAGCCTTGTCCTTTCTCACTGTTCACAGAGGCAGGCATGATGTGGCTGCTCCCTGTGCTTGACACCAATTTCTTTTCTCCTCTTAGCCCCAGAGGAAGCTCCCGTCATCTTGTCAGTGACACCTCACACCACCACGTCCGTGCTGATCCGCTGGCAGGTACAGTAGCACACTGTTTCTTCTTCGTGGTCTCTGTGGTTCACACCTTTATGGACTTGTCCTGTTCTTGCAGGGCAGAACTCGGGATTGCAACCAAGTTTGTACACAGAGGTTGTTTCCACTCTCCGGTCCCACCTCATCAACACCCTCTCTTCAACTGGGTGGTTGCCACAAAGAGTGGTTTTTCAGTCGCCGTAGGATGGGTAGCTTTGGTGTGGAAACATAGCCTGTGTGAGGGATTCTGTGCCACTGGGTTTGCAAAAAGTGTGATCCTCCCTGCAAAGTGAAGAAAGCCTCCATTGATTCACGTGTTGCAGAGGATCAGCAATGTGTGTTTTCCGATAATGTGGATGCCAATATTCCATACATTGACTCTCCAGTGCTGTGATGATGCAAATAGGGTATGGGTAAACAGCCTACGTTGGCATTACTTGCTACCATCAAATTTGCAAACACATTAGCAAATTATGGCAGCAGAAAGACAAAGTAAGATACGCAGGGAGCATGCACCATGTGCTCTAGAAGCACATGTCCTTCTAGAAGCCTTCCAGAAGCACAGCTTATAAAGGGGGCAGATGCTTCCTGCATGCCTTGTTTAAAAGGTAAATTTAGTAGTACGGCAGAAACAGCAGCATTAGAGTTGTGGGTTGTGATTCCCCAGGTGCGAAAATGTAGCTTCTCCCTCGCCCTCCGAGATCGCTTTCCTTTATGATAAATGCTCTGAGGCTTCTCTGGCTTGCCTCCCTTGATTTCTGTCTGCCGGCTGTGGAAGCCAGCTCTTCAGCAAGTCTTCCCGTTTTTAGGCAGAGTCATAAAAAGTGACCATCCTGAAAGGCAAGATTATGACAGCACAGAATTACCGTGTGAGAAAGTAGTGAGAAATGTCAGTAGTGCAGGGCGGGCAAAGGGGAGAGTCTACCTGAGACAACCCCTTGCTTTCATGTTTCTCCTGACCTAGGCTCCATCGGAAGACAAAATCCATGGCATCCTGCTAGGCTTCCGCATCCGCTATCGGGAACTGGCGTATGAGGGGGTGCGAGGCTTCATTGCGCGCACGGTTGCCAATCCCAATGCAAAATGGACAGAGTTGACCTGTGAGTATATGCCTGTTGGGTAACAAGGGTTCTCAGAATCCAGATAAAATTGGAATTTAGCCTTATAGGAAAGTACTGTATCGTCTGCCTTCAAGCAGTTTTGTAGCAACCCTCCCGATGACCGTTCTGTTAGCTGCATCATTCTGAGGCAGTCCTCCAAGCCCTACGTGTGCTGTAAATTAGCATACTCCTTCCTCCAGTGTCTCTTACAAAAACAGAGTGGTTTGCCCAGCAACTCTATTGGTAGCCAAATAAAAAATAAAATGAAAAAATCTGTGTTTCCAGCATTCAGAAAGAGTTATGTCTGTGCTGAAAATGCTGATCCTTGTGGTAACCTTCCCATCTTGATCTCTATTATGTCAATTGTTCAGTAAAGAATGCTCCCTCCCCCCCTTGAACATGTTAGATACAGAGTCAATAGGCAGTTGAGTGGGATATTCTGGGAGTTTAAAACGGCCTGTCCCATTGCCCACAGCTGATTCTGGGCAGCTTTTGTTTCCTTTTGGTAGCTTTGAATGTTACCCCTCCCTCACGTTCGAGTACTTGTCTCCTTTCCAGCCCTTATTTGGAGACTCTTCAGTGTTCTCTGCTGTGAGTTTCCCTCCTAGCTGCTTTCTTCCACTCAGTGAAGTCTACTAGTCCTGCTTGCTTTGTCAAGATGTTTGTGTTTTTCTTAACATGTGGCTAACCTGCATTGACTGCTTTTCCCATCTGACCACCTACCATCCCACAGCAACCTATGCCGTGCGGAACCTGACCGAGGCAACCCTCACGCAGTACGAGCTGGACAGTAAGTGGGTGCTTGGCCTTGTGTGTGCATTTGTCTCTACCCATGTTGCTAGTCCCTCTTGACACCCGAGATCAATTTTGTCAACTGCCCAGTCCCTTTCCCCCATTTCAGAAATCAACCAGGACTTGAGTAGAGCTGTTTGCCAAAGTATCAAGAAAATCACTAAGAATCCTCAGAAAGCTATTCAGCTGCATTAGCTTTCTGAGGCAGACCATCTTAATCTGCTTCTGTCCCTCTGCATTAAGTCTACCCTCCACCAGGGAGTGATCTGCCTGTAACAGTGAACCTGTGGGATGTTAGAGGCATAAAAATACCTGTGGCCAATGCTTTGAATAGCACTCATCTTGCCATTTTGGAGTGAATCTCCCCCTGCCCACCCCTGCTGCAACTACACGCTGCTTCTATATGGACATAAGGATGAGGAGGACCGATGGAAAATAATGGAGCTGATGGGAAGTATCTTGCCTTGATTACCATTGAATCCTAATCAGACTACAGTGGTGCCTCGCTTAATGGGTGCCTCGTTTAACGACGAATCCGCATACCGAAGACGTTTCTTATTTATTTGCATACCGGCAGATCATGGCAATTGGTGACTCCAGTTTTGGGAGGGGCCTTTGAATCCCTTCCATGTTTTGATCTGCATTTTGAAAGAGTCATTCAAGATGCTGAACCTAATTTGGAGGTAAGGTTCAGCACATCAAATATATAAAGTGCAGATGAAAACTCACACTGGGTTCACAGTCCCCACCACCATCAAAATTGGCATCACCGGCCGCCACTGTTGAAAGCCCAGCAGTCCATTACCGCCTTTGTTGAGAAGTATCATGACCCCATCTTCCAGCTTTTCAAGGATATGCCTGGGAGCAGGAACAGTGCTGTTAGAGGGAAGTGTGCAAGGCAAGACAGGTGAAGATGGAGGGAAATGAGAGCAGGTGGCACAGAATGTGTGCCCTACTACTCTAAGAGCCCCCACGACTGAAGAGGGAAGCTCTGCATCCCCTTCTCATACACTGGCTGTCTCTTTCTCTTCTACAGATCTGAACAAGCACCGCCGTTATGAGATCCGAATGAGTGTCTACAATGCTGTGGGTGAGAGCCCCACCAGTTCACCACAGGAGGTCTTTGTGGGAGAGGCTGGTAAATTGAGCATCTTCTTGGCATCAGTAATTTTCATGTGTTTGTGTGTGTATTGGAGAAATTTTTGATTATTTCCTTTTAGTTAGCAAAGTACAAAAAGTCAGATGCAGCACGTGATAGCTAAAAAACCCAGCTTCCACCCAGCCCCTTTTTGTTCTCATGGCAACTATATTTTTTGTATATAAAAATCACTCTTCTAGTTAATAACTCAGCTAAAAGAAAAGAAAAAAACAATTTTATTTCCAGTTGTGGAACTGTAAGTTGTGGCTTTGAGCAAGGGGTTGGATTGGGCTTGATGGCCCTATAGGCCCATTCCTACTCAATTGTTCTACCCTGTTTCCCCAAAAATAAGACAGGGTCTTATATTAATTTTTGCTCCAAAAATGCATTAGGGCTTATTTTCAAGGGATTTTTTTTCTTGTATAACAATCTATGTTTATTCAAGTGCAGTTATGTCATCTTCTTCTGGCTGCTGTACAATGGTTGAAGGTGGGGTTTCTTTTAACTGGAGCTTATTTGGGGGGTAGGGCTTATATTACATGCATCCTGAAAAATCATACTAGGGCTTATTTTCAGGTTAGGTCTTATTTTAGGGGAAACAGGGTATGATTCTATTAATTTCATCTACAATCACAAGAATAAAAGGATAAAGAAAGAAACTGCAATCTCAACCATGCTGGGAGATTGAAATCCACCATGCTAGCTGCATCATCAGAGGTCAGGAGCTGACTTTTACATGTCTGCTCAGGCTGAAAGTCAGAGAGGGAGAGAGGGAGTAAACAAAACAATGGAAGTAAACAGACAGGAAATAGGGAAGGAGACTTGCTTCAAGCCCAAGAGAAGGAACTTTGCTAATTGGTTAACAGCAAGGCATAATTATGTTAGGCTGTGAAGCCCCCTTCTCACTGAAACGCTGTGTTGGGTTTTATGTAAGACTGTCATTTTCTCCAACTGTATAGCCATTAGCTCTGGTGCAGGCTTTCATCTCTACCCAGGAAATTATGGGAGTTGCAGTCCCTGCACACTTTGAAGCCTTACTTCCCTTCGCTGCCAGTCTCACACAATTAGCTGACAAATAAGATAGCTGCCAGTAAAAGTTCAGTGAGCCAAGATGCCAAATATGGAGACATCTAAAAACAGGGCTTCAAATTCAGGGGCAGAGGTATCTGGTTCACAGGAAAATAAATGCTGCTTCTCTGTGGGCTTGCGAGAATGCGAGCTGTTTCTCAGGAATCCTCTGCAGATCTCCCTGTCATTCCCTCTTCTCTCCTTCAGTCCCCACAGCTGCACCACAGAACGTGGCCATCCAAAGTGCCACAGCCACCCAGCTCGACATCACATGGGAGCCGCCCCCTCCTGAGGCACAGAACGGAGACATCCAAGGTTACAAGGTACTAGGCAATGAGGGACGGGGGAGACGTCTGGTTTATAGATTAAAGGGAAGGCTTCTCAGCCTCAGGAGTGTTCGAGAGTAAGGGGTGAAATGCCTGACGTGCAGAACCTGGGAGCACAGTGACAGTATGTTTTCTTAATTGCCATTCAGGGTGCAAACATTCATAATGCCTGTGGTCATGCAAGAACAGAGATCCTGTGTTTCTCTCCATGCTGTTCAAATGTGGCCTGATCATTGGGCCTGCACACTAGGATTTCAGATGTTGGTTTCCATCTTGAGGGCAACAGGTTCTATACCTTTGCCACAATGTGTTAGTAACGGATTCATTTAATTCCAGTAGATCATGTCAGGCTAAAACCTAAGTGTTAGATAGTCAACAGCTACCTTATAATAGAATTCCTTGTGGCACTTTAAATGCTTAGCACATTTATTATGAAATCAGCTCTCGTGGGTTATAAGCCCATTTCATCCGAAGCATCCAGTGTTTTATGTCTGCTTTGCAAGTTTATGCACGGAGAGAGTGATGGTGTGTAGTATTATGTAGTATTATGTGGATAAACAGTAAGGTCAAAGAGAAATAAATGTACAGATAGTAACAACTGCATTGTTGGGAGGCAGTGGAAGACAGGAGGGCCTGGCGTGCTCTGGTCCATGGGGTCACGAAGAGTCGGACACGACTAAATGACCAAACAACAACAACAACTGCATTATTAACAGTGATCATTCAAAGAAAAAAAATAATTGTTGGTGACACGGAGGGTACAATCAGATGACCATTTGTCCCACTGTTAAGTACACTGCAGGGACAGGCCAAGTCACTCCTTTTTCTGGGGATCACATAACATAATTGCTGGAGTGAACTAACCAATCTGCAGAATGTTCCCCCTCTGTAACTTTTTGGGTCCTTGTCAGAAGCTTCTGTGTTTTTGGTTTCTAGCATGTGTAATCGCTGGAAATAAACCAAAGCAGAAATTGCAGCTGTCAATTTGCCATTATCATTAAATGACTTAAGAAGCAAACTTGACCACTTCATGATATTCAGAAATTAGAGAGTTCCTCTGCTCTGTGGAGGGGTAGAGGAAGTGCTGATGCATTACACCTCTTTGAAAAAGTATTATTATAATTAATATTCAAAAATACCAGACACAGTTGATCAAGATTATAAAAAACATTGACTGGTAACAGATAAAAGGTTTAATGCAAAATCTAAGTATCTGTTATTATTATTATTGAAAACTTTTCCCCAGAAGTGGGAATAAACAGGAGAAGGCAAGGAAGGGATTTTTTAAAAAGGTCCGGTAAACATTCTTCAAAGTAATAATATTTTTCTGTGAATGTAGTAAATGGAAGGCTATTGGGAAAAAAGAGTCCTTGGAAAAAACCCTGATGTTAGGAAGGTGTGACGGCAAGAGGAGAAGGGGACGACCGAGGATGAGATGGCTGGACAGTGTCTGCGAAGCAACAAATGGAAGGCTATTGGGAAAAAACAAATATTAAAGCAACACTACAATCAGACACTCAAAATGTTATGAGCACAAGAGTTTACAGAGTAAAATTGTCTACTCAAGATCATAGCCCTTGCCACAGCAACATACGGAGAGTTTTTTTTTTAAAAAAAAATGGAACTCTTCCTCCTAGAAGTGGGAGAAGACAGGAGAGGGAACATATGGAGGTTTTTTTTTTCCCACAGCCTTCTTAAATGAGCCGAACCAAATAGGGTCACTTGAAGTGCATATGCCATTTGGATGCAAATACACACCAGATGGCATACTGGACTTATGGCTGACCCAAGTGACTCTATTTAGCCCATACCAGCCCACTCCAATATGACTTTCTACTCATAACCTAGTTAACCAATTTGTTTCTCTTTCAAATACCACAACATTCTTTGTTGTGTTTTGCTTCACTGGCTATCTCTCTGGAAATATATAGCATGCAGGATCTCAGAGTCAGTTCCCAATCCTTTTGAAAGCCAGGGAATGTTCTAGCTAGGTTCATTTATAAAATGAAGCAGTCTTACCGTGTTTCCCCAAAAATAAGATAGCACCTTATATTAATTTTTGCTCCAAAAACACATTAGGGCTTGTTTTCAGGGGATTTTTTTTTCATGTACAACAATCTACATTTATTCAGATACAGGCATGTCATCTTCTGGTTGCTGCACCATGGTGGAGGGTGAGGTCTCACTTATCTGGGGCTTATTTTGCGGGGAGGGCTTATATTACAAGCATCCTGAAAAATCTTACTAGGGCTTATTTTCAAGTTAGGTCTTATTTTCGGGGAAACAGTGTATATATGTTGGATAGTGGAAAGTTTAAGAAATGTCCATCTTTCTCTTCAGGAAAAGGTATAGTTCCACAGTTCCACATTCTACCAGCAAGGGATGCTGTTGAGCTTTAAATGGAACACTGGAATTTCATATATGGATAATTTAGTTCCAGGGCACCTACAGACTGTCCACAATTTAACATGTTTATAGGCTTGAGGGGGTGGGCCTTGAACATGCTAAGGTTTGCATGTGCAGACTTCCAGCCATGTGTTTCTTATAGGTACGTCCTCCAGGGAACTGAGTTAGGCTGCTGTGCACTCATATATACTCTCTCCCTTGGGGTGGCAAACAGGATTTCCCACCACACACCATGTGATGTGGCCTAAGCAGGCTTGAGTCATTGAAGTTCAGCAACATCTCCCTTGGAACCTACTAAAAGGCCACCACACGTGACTTGTGGCAGTTGGCAGGACACCCTGCCGAAAGATGGCAGAGGTAGAATTAATCTTTGTGCAAATATTATTGTTTTATTTACTTGTTAAACTTCTAAACCCACCCCATCTGACCCATGGTCACTCTGGGTAGTGTACAATAACAAACAACATAAACATATAATTCAAATAACAACAATGAAAATTAAGTTAAAATCAGGTAGTGGCAATAGATGTTAAATGAATAGTCTAAAATCTCAGTGGAGTTATTAGGATGGTATGGTTTGAAAAGCCTGTCAAAATTGATTTCTTTAAAATCTTCAGTTTGGGGAAGAGGCCAGGTGAATTTCAGGGGCACAACGGCCTAGAAGGCCCGGTTCCTTGTTTTCTCCTTTGGGGCCTCTCTTAGGATAAGCATCCTCAGCCACCTGACTTGAGATGGGCAGGTAGGGGAAGCAGCCCCTCTTGGAAGGAGGTCGCTCTGTCATGTACTAAGGCCCCGAACCATTTAGGGCTTTATAGGTAAAAACCAGCACCTTGAACCCTGATACGGAAACAGACTGGTAACCCGTTTTTGGCTCTGTGCACCCCATCCATGATCAGTGGGGCCTTTTACGAGCCTACAGGGCTGCAGTTTTGGAACGCTGCTTTCTTGTTTCCTAAGAAACATCAAGGGTGCTGGGAAGTGTTGCCATGGAGCCAGTTTGTTGCCATCTCTTTGGCGCCTTGACTTCATGGCTTCGTGGAACAATCCAGTTTCTCTATAGAAGTCTGGATCTCACCCAACAGTGACTTCAGAAATTCATTCCACCATCACCACCCATGAGCTAAATGATGCTGGAAATGGATTGCCTGTGCTGTCTTCTCTAGCTCAAGGGTGGGCATGTCCTAATACTTTCCTGTCCTGGGAAAGGAAATAGCTCATCTTCCCCACAGAGATTGTCAGTGAAACCCCCTTGAAGTACTGAATTTCTGCCACATTCCTTAAGAATGTATTTTTCACAGGCCAGCTTAGAAGTTCTGGGAACTCTGTTCTAGCCAGAGTATGATCCAGATACCAGTAGCAATGCAAACAACTTCATTGCTCATGATGTAAGGTCTCTCTACAACACAAAATGGTCACTTCAGATTCTCTGGACTCCCATAAATCAGTAAAGAATTACCAGACACAGTAGGAATTCTATTTGGGCCTTCTAGGTATGTAGTGCATTACAAATAATCATGATACAAAAGGATAATAGAATGCCATGAGTATGAGCAATAAAAAAATTGGTTCTCACCTTTTCTTCCAGCACCATTCTATCAAATTTAGGGATGAATTTACTTTGGGGGACTGCTACTTCCAGAATGTTCCAGCCTCCCTGGGCAATGGCCAGGCTGGCTGGAGGATCCTGAGATTGTAGTGCAAAAAAGCAACTTTTCCAAGCACAGGCCAAAGCTGTCAAGGAGGAAAGAGAAGTAGGTACAATAGAGAGTTACTTAAACAACTATTCTCAGCCAGGCCCTACGGCCGCCCAGGAGGGTTTTGTCACATTTGAAAGGGAGCCACAGACTGGAAACAATTCTTTACATGCCACCTTATAAGGTTCATTATGTGGCTTATACAATTCTGATTCAGCCTATATTTCTTTCATATTGTGTTTATCTCGATGGCCAAAATAAAAAGGGTTGAGAATGGCTGACCTAATGGTTGCTGTTAGGTTTTGTTTATCAAAGTGGAGGTTGTGTAACACTTTCTACAGTATCAGAAGAAGGCACCAAAAAATCAACAAATTGCCTAAAAGATAGATCACTTAAAATTCTTTAAGTTTTATCTATCTCTCCATATCTCTGTCTCTCTCCATCTATCTATTTGTATTCTGATCTTTTGTCCAAGGATGTAAGCAGTTGACATCTTGTTACACCTCTTAACATTTAATGCTGAATGCACTGATCAGCAGCCATTAGCAATCTTGGGTCTTTTTTTGTAGGAGAAAGGCAGGGTAAAACTATTTTAAATAAATATTTTAAATAAATTTAAAGGCTCCAGATAATGAGGCTGATAACAATGGCAAATAAGGCAATTAAAAATGTTAAAACTAATACAGTGATGTTGCCATTAATTTGAAAACCGATTTGTTAATATTAATCATTTTTGTGAACTGTTTCAGTATAAAATTAATTTATTGCATTGTCAGTGGCATAGCCTTTTTAAAAAATTAATTGAAATTACAAAATGACCTCTGGCATTCCACTCCAAAACTACACCTAAAAATAAGAAAGTTAGTTAAAGTAAAGTGTTAATAATTACTCAGACTGTTAAAATGATAGCTATTAAAAGGACTTCAAGAATTGTTCATAACACTTTTGCTAAAAAAAATCAATTTTAGCAAATGGGTCTTAAATCATATGATCCCAAAATGCTCAATACATCAGGACAAAATATAGGCTTGTAAGACAGTAAGTATGATTTCAGGCAGGGAAGGTATTAAGTTGGAAAACTATGCCTTCTCCTTCATATTTTGGAGTGGGAAAGCAGCAACGCAAGAACTGTGTGACTGAGCACAAAAAAGTGAGACGAGGGGGTCCATGCTATTCCCTTACTGTGACCTCTGCTCTCACCCTAATTCCCCTACCCGACAGATCTTTTTCTGGGAGGCCCAGCGGCAGAATGAAACGGAAAGGATTAAAACACTCTTCTTGCCCGAGAATGGTGTCAAACTCAAGAATCTGACTGGCTACACTGCGTACCTCATCACCATCCTGGCCTTCAATGCTGCAGGCGATGGACCTCGCAGTCCACCGATCAGGGGCAGGACCCAGCAAGCAGGTAGGATAGGAAGGTGCAGGGGATGGGGGGGATGCATCAACCACTTGGGTTTCACCAGGCATTTCAGGAGGGGAGAAGTCCTGCTATTTTTGGAGAATAGCACATAGTGGAGGCTGTGCCAAAGTGGGAAATGGGGGTAGGGTATGAGTCATCATGAGAAGTATTCACATAATACTGTGTTGCCTCATATATATGTAATTTTTCCACAGTTGTCTGGTAGCATTTAATGACTCTACTGTCTCTCAATCTCGGATCCCCTTTTGCAAGGTCAATTCAAAAACAGCCAAAGAATAGTGAAATTAATCTATTGTTGCCTTAAAATGTAGTGATGTAATCTCTCTGAAAATGACATAGTCAAATGTGCATAGACCCAAGCAATATATTCAGAGAAAGTATTCCAGTTATAATTTCTCGCTGAGACCCTCGGGTAAAGTGGCTGTATGTATTCTCAAAGGCTTTCACATCTGGGATCTGATGGTTGTTGTGGGTTTTTCAGGCTCTTTGGCCGTGTTCTGAAGGTTGTTCTTCCTAAAGTTTCACCAGTCTCTGTGGCCAGCATCTTCAAAGGAAAGGAGTCAGAACTCTGTCTGTGCTCTGGTGCAGTTTAGATAGTTGAGTATTTATAGCTGTGGGATCAGCTTTTGTCATTTTCAGGAGATGGGTGATTCTTCCAGTTTTTCTTCACCGTGGTTCCAAATTGCGAAGATTTAATCCACATATTGGAACCAAACTGTGGGTGCGAAGGGTGCCGAAGCCAGGGGCTTTTTTTCAAACTCAACAAAGCCTGGCTCCTAGCACTGAAAAATACAGCCTGCAAAAGGTCAACGAACTCTACCCAGCTACAAGGACCGGTGATCACTGCACACAAAAGACCAGCTAATGACACCCATCAATCACAGTGACAGATAATCTCTCCCTCTTATCACAACAATACACCCACAACAAAAAACACACTGATCACCACAATCACCCATCTCCTGAAAAGGACAAAGGCTGGTCCCACAGCTATAAATACTCAACTATCCAAACAAACTGCACCAGAACACAGACAGAGTTCTGACTCCTTTCCTTTGAAGATGCTGGCCACAGAGACTGGTGAAACTTTAGGAAGAACAACTTTCAGAACACAGCCAAACAGCCCAAAAAATCTACAACAACCAAAGTAGCTGTCTTTTTGTGCAAGTGCCCATATGCCTTCTCTTTGCAAAGGCAACAGATCTGCATCAACTCCAGCCTGTGTGCCCTTCCCTCTTTTTCCTAATGTTTCAATCTACAGCTTTGTCCTCTTAATTTTACATACCTAACCCACACTCTCACACTGTGGCCATGTCACCACTGCCACCACCACACCTTGAAGCACTGAATTGCTTTCTTGGTCTCCTCTCCACTTACTGCTCCAACCCTGATGCTTCTGAATGTTAAAATCTCATGCTGATCAGAGGCTTCGCCATGGAAGCTGGGTGGTGCTGCTGAATGTGCATTTCTGACTGATCAAATGCCAGGCGGAGATCCAGCAGAATAGCTGAACGGGTGACCCGAGGCTTCACTGAATGCCTGGCTAAAGACACATGTGCCTCTGTAGTCTGAAGCTGTGTGCTCCATCCCCAACAGACAGTGGCTTTGTTCTTTTGCATCACCTGCTCCCCTCCTCTTCCTTCCATCCACACACTTCAAAACATCCTCAAGTTACTTGTTCAGAGATCAAAGCCCGACAAGAAAGGAAACAAGGAGAGGCTTATTGGCCATATCCACGGCCAGCAAGCCAAGGGCACTGTTGAAGAACTCAGCTTGTATCTTTAGCTCCCTACTGCGTAGAGAGGAAGCAGAGTCTAAATCAGGCTCTGCCTCACTGCCTTTCCGCTCTCATTGAATCCTTGGGGTTGTTATTGGCAAAGCATGAAGAAGCGTGAGGAGAATCACAGCAATGATTTTGGCCAGAGTGGTCTGGGATATTTTCTCCCTTCTCCCCTCTGTGTAGGCCCCCTGCTTAGCTCTTAAACTACAGCTCCAAAGGATCAAATCGCAGGATTTGAATGGGCTTAGCCAAACCCTTCCTCCTAAAAATAAGGAAGACAGTGTTTTGCCTGACACCTTAACACAATGGTTTCTCTATTAGTTGTCTTGCGGGCTGGGGGTGGGGGGAGAGAGAGAGAAAGTCCCATATTTCAAGGTGCTGTCTATTTGCAAGCAGATTTCAAAGAGTTAGCCTTGGTAATCTGTTTCACCATAGATAGCAAAATTAAAGCACAAGACTTGTTGTACCTTAAAGCGTAACAGATTTATTTCAGTGTGAACTTTTGTAGATTACAATCCACTGCCATAAACTCATGGGGCATAACAGTTCGGCCACAGGTTTGTATACACAGAGGATGTGGTAGAGAAAAGGAAACCAAGTGAGATTGGGAAAGCAAGCTGATCATTACACTGGCGATAATAATCCCCACAGCCAATGTCCTTGTCACCCTCTGGGTCCCCCTCCCTTTACCCTGTCCTCCGAGTATATAAACTTGTGGCCAAACAATTATGGTCATCCTAGAGATCATAAGTAGCACCAATACCACTTAAGGAGCCAATGTTTCGGGCATGGGGGTTTGCCTTAAAAAGAATGGTTACTTAAGACATTCAGCTGAAATGAGGATTAATGAGGATAAACTTTGGTACCACATTCAGTAACTGGTTTGAGATGGCATAGGAAGGTGTCAACTGAGTTATTTCTTAAGGTATTTCATTCTTTTTAGAATTTTTATTGCTGGGGAAATGTTTGTGGGAATTTCCTGTCTCAGAATAACAGGGCTAGATTTAAGCACTAATGCTCTGGACTTTGGTAGCTGATGCCACTCTCTCAGGCCTGTCCCTACTGTGCGGGCTGAGCTGGGTGACTTTCTACAGCAGTGGTCCCCAACCTTTTTGGGACCATGGACCAGTTTGGGGGGGCGGGCTCTGTGCATGGGGAGGAGCACAACACACCCCTGCATGAGCACAGCACCCTCCCACGTGCTGAGAGTTCTTGGAAACTTGTATAAGTTCCAATAAAATGCACCGCGGAGGGCCAGCTAACTCTGTTTAGAGTTGGCTAAGGAAGTTCCCTTGTTTATCCATCCTCACCAAAGCCTAGCACTTTTGAAATACAACACTCAGGAGGCTATCTTTAAATGTAAAAAGTGTTTTGTATATTTAACTCACATGAATAGGCACTCAGTAGTTTTTCAGGTTGATACAGAAGGAAAAATAGTAAAGGCAAATGTTTCTTTTCTTAGGATCTCTGGGGTTCAGAGATCCTGCCTGGAGGTCTAGCATCTTGCAAGGTGAAGAAGGATTTGGATTATAAAAATGGAGTCTCAAACCTCGTGGTAAAAAGGGGAGTGACAAGGGGCGGAGCTTATTTAACCCAGGAAACAACAAATCCTTCTGATTGGTTAGTACATAAACAGGCAAAACAAGTTACTCTGTGATACAGGCCCCTTCCTCCCACATCTTGAAATTAGCATTTGGATGGCTAATTAGCCAACGCCGCGAACATGACACCCCCCCGTGCAAGCGTGACATCTCCCAGTGAACGTAACATGCCCCCTCCGCGAGTGCGACACACCCACCATGCAGGCAGGTGGCAGATGGAGATCCGTGTCCACGGCCCAGTTCCAGCAAGCCCAGGGACCGGCACCAGACCGCAGACCGGGAGTTGGGACCCCTGTTCTACAGGACAGTCTGAGGCACATTTGGTTGCTTCACACATAAATGTCTGACAGCCTGAATGTTTCATAAACCTATTGGGAACACATGGGGCCTCACAATGGGTGAATGGCAAAAAAATATGTTAATTGTGTTTCAGGTACACTTGACAGGAAGCCTATATATGTGTGTCTTCTCATAACACTTAATAAACCTATTGGGGAAACACTATATGCAACATGCCACTGAAAGTCAAAAATCCTGAAATCATTTTTTTTCCTTTAATGGAACTTGGTTCTCTTAGCCCCGTTGCCTATAGCATTGGGGGAAAGTGAGGATCAGCCTCCTTCTTATTTTCAGTTGATGGAATTGAGATTGGCCTGGTTTAAATCAAAATAAACGTGCTGCTGCTTTTTTTTAACCTGCTTTGATCAATCAGGCTACTATTTAACTGATCTGAGGACAAGTGTTTAACTGGGACAATAAGAGCAAAGCTGGATAGCCTCCAGATTTCCCTCAGGGAGTGCATACAGATGACTTTGCAGGGTCATGTCTGTTTTCCTCTGCAATAAACATCTGCCTTGATGGTGTGGATTCAGACTGGGGAAATGGCATCCAGGAAAGGGTAGTATTATCACTATGATCTGTTTCATCCTGTGCCACCAACATAATGACTGCTTTTAATGTTTAAGAAATTTGATCACAGCTAAGTTAGTTTGTTTCAAGATGATAGAAGGGAAGATAACAGGAGACAGAGACCAGAATTGCCATTTTCTTAGAGACTCCAGGCCATGAGTTGGAAGATCAGAGAAGTTAACACCCACTCATGTTTGCCTCTTTATAGGCCAGGAAAGCACTTTCTTCCCTGTTGGTGTGGACAATGGCTGTAGAAGCCCTTTTCTTCCCATGAGGACTGTGACTTGGGTTACTTGCTTAAGCCACCTGAAGCATCTAATGCAACTTTATTTTATTGGTGATTTTTATAATTAGGAAAAACATTCCTTCACAAAAAGACATTTTGACCACTGTGAGGAAACTGAAGGTGAAGAATAATAGTTGTAGCCATATGTAAGAATCGACCTGGACTCCTAGCCTTTTCTGTCTTACAGTAGGCTGGCATGCACAGCCCATTCATTCCCACTATGTTCCTTCTTTTTGGATTAGGAAGGGGGAGCTGATTTTGAGGTCCAAATCTTACACTGGAAATCGGATCTCAACACCTCACTCCCACTGGAGTAAAACCTCATCATTTTTCCCCCCGATTTGTAGAAATCAGGTTCATGAACTCTGCTCTCTAAATTGGCATGTCCAAAGGTTGCTGATTTCATGTATTCCTTTACTCCAGTGTCACAGGTTTGCCAGGGCAGTTACTGTTCCCCAAGACAAACTAAACAAGTGAAGTGCCTTTGTTGCTAAGGAAACCAGCCGCAGAGCACAGGGTCATGGAAGGGGAATCCATAGCCTCAGCCCATCTCTGCCTGTGTAAATTTATTACCAAACAATAGGCATTACTATAATACCTACATTTCCTTTCCCTTTAAGAGCCAGCTTGGGCAAACTGCTCAGCCTCAGACAGATTTAAACTGAGAGCACAGTTTCAAGATAATTAAGCATTTTCTAGAAAATTAGAAACCTGAGGGAATCAATTTCTGTTCTGGGGTTTGCTTCTGTGGGTTACAAATAGGGTATGAAAAACTCAATTAAACCCATTTTTAAATGCTGCACAGGGAGAACGTTGAGGCTTCATATTATGGTAGGAGATAGCTTTGAGGTAGAATTCCAGCTGCCACATTATAAAATGTCAAGACATAGTAGCAACAAATAGTGTAGATGTTATACTCTGTGACACTTCCATCATCCTCCCTGACTGTTGTTCAGGGTGCCTGGGGCTGAGGAGAGCTGGAGTCTGGAGACATCTGAAGGACTACAGGCCCCTCATCTTTTTCCTAAGACATCCAGGAATTTAGCATGTTTTCCCTTCCAGGATTGTGAAATGGGAAACATCACAGACATTGCTAACATATCCATTCTATAAGAATGGGTATGCAAAGCATGTCTCCTGAAGGATCTTCCACATCTTTCCATTTCCATTTTCTTCTGCATAACAGGCAGGGTTGAGTTATTTTGCCTCCCAGGTCAACCTTTCTTAGAGCTGGAATAATAGCATGTAGCCTGAACTCTGCAGAGCTCCCAGAAAAGAAAAAAGAGAATGTAAAGAATAGATTATTTTATTTTGTTTTTATTGTTATTCATTTATTTATTTATTTTACTTTTTTTTTTAGCCGCGCCATTACCAGTGGTCTCTGAGTGGCGTAGAACAATATTAAAACTTTAGAAAAACATTAAAACCATTAAAAAATACCCAATATATAATAATACCCTATATTAAAACAATCAATTTATCATTAATAAATCCTGTTGCTCATATGGCCAGCTAAAGGATACTATTTAATTAAAATGCTGGCTAAACAGAAAGATCTTTGCCGGGCGCCGAAAAGCCAAAAGTGTTGGAGCCAGGCGGATCGCTATGGGGGGGGATAGGTGTAAGGTATCTAACCTCCTTTGCAGGTCTGGCAGGTCCACTGGCCATGAGCTGAGGGGGGGCAGGGTGGGAAGGGAGCCTCCTCGCCAGTGCACTGGGCAGATGGGTGTGGGCAGGAAGGAGAGCCCCGGCCAGGGCTCCGCCAGGCAAAGAGTCCAGCTGGCCTGATATGCCGCCCTTTCCCCCCCACTTTGGAGGCGAGAAGGACAGATGGGTGCCCTGTGCAGTTCCTCGCCAGGGCTCGCTGTCCCCGTGACGGAACGCCCACCTACACACACCATTGTCGGAAATAAAATGCCTGGGGGTAAAATGCCTGCCACGACCGTCCTCATTACCCCCAGGTTTTTCATTTTTACCCGATTTGGGGTAATTTACCCCTGTTCTCTGACCACTGGCCTAGAGCAATATTAAAACTTTAGAACCACATTAAAAACCATTAAAATAATACCCATTATAATAACACACAATATTTAAACAGTCAATTTATCATTAATAAATCCTGTTGCTCATATGGCCAGCTAAAGGATACTATTTAATTAAAATGCTGGCTAAACAGAAAGATCTTTGCCGGGCGCCGAAAAGCCAAAAGTGTTGGAGCCAGGCGGATCGCTATGGGGGGGGGATAGGTGTAAGGTATCTAACCTCCTTTCTCCTATGTGGGCATGCTCTACTCCCACCACCATATCTTCCCCTGCCATGTACAGTTTCTGTTGGTTGCCCTAGAGGCCCTCCAAGCCCTCTTGTTTCCCAACTTGTTCTCCAGCCAGTTCCCTCAGGGAAGCTGGCAGCCAGCAACAGCCCAGCCACAGCCACACTGTCTCTCACTCAGATGGCAGATGTTACCTGACTCCCCTGAGTGGAGGAATGCTGGTCCAGTAGGGCCCTGAAAGCAGCTCTGGCTTATAAGTCCCTTCTCCCCCTGAGCCAGGTGGCTGAGGCCCAGTCCTGCAAGACAGAAGGAGACTCTTTTATTAGCTTTTCTTCTCCTAGACACATTTAAATCGGGGATGGGAAAAGCAAGATTGTACAGGGGCACCTGAGTCAAGCTTGCGTCACTCCCCTTAGTGTCTGGGACTGTGACCACAGGATCCATTCCTTGCTGCCCTGGTGGACACAGTGGATGTGGTGTCTCAGGTTTCTTTCAGCCATTCTCAGAACAACCCTGCCTTGTGGTCCAGTCCCATGATTGCTTCAAATAAAATGTGGAATGTGTGAGTGGGAGCACTTCTAGTGGTGAATTAGTAAACATTCAGATACATGCTTAATCCCTTAGCCATCAATTTTGTCCTAAAAGTGTTTTCCCCAAAGTTATGTCCTCCCTAGCAAGTTTCATTGCTGGTTTCTGAAGCCAACTGGAGGACAAAATAGACTGCTTCCAGAAGAAGGGATTTGCAGGCAACAGTCCTGGAGTTGAGAAAGGGTTAAATGCTTTCCTTTTATCTTTCCACCACTGTCTCCATGTGAAAGCTGAATCTCACCAGCAAGCTGTAAGTGGAGCAGGCGAGAGCCTGCAAAACACTCCAGTCCCAACCGTACGCTTGATTCCTAGGAGCCGAAATTAACTATTCCTCAAGATTCCCTCTGCTTTGGACTGCCACTGCACCTAATGGATTACACATTTTGAACATGCTTTAAGACACAACATTTACAAGATGTCTCCAAAAGTCTACCTCCTGCTTTGTTGCACTCAATAGTATTCCTCCCAGCCAGAACTAATAATTGTCAGTAGATTTAAGCCACATGCCCAAACTCTCCTCCCTAGAACACAAAATCTTCACCATTAAAAGGGGGTGTTTCATGAAAAAAAAGTAAAATTGCCTTTGATATGGTACCATTTCATGGCTAGGCGTTATAAGCAATTGAAAGCACAAAAATACAGGGGATGGCTTACATATCTGTGCATCTGCATAAGGTACAACATACTGCAAATTCCATCTGCCTGGACAGAAATCTCAAAAGAATGAAAATAGAGAAGAATAAGTTGATTGCATCTAGTTAACCTCTTAGCTACTCACACCTCTTTATTGTGTGGGCCCTCTGACCTCCATCTCCCATGTCTTTCACCCTTCTCTCCAGTCGCCCCCAGCCCTTGGTGTTAGCACCTTCATATTCACCTTGCAGCTTCCGCTCCAATTCAAATATTCCTGTTTGGAAGGTAGGATGAAGACTGATGCACCCACAGGACACCTACTAAGGCCTTAGCTGTGTGCAGGTTACAGCCTCCTAGGCTATTCCATTCACTCCTCATAGTTTTTTATGCTCTCGATTGTGATGTATTCCTGATTCCTTTCCCCTTCACAGTTGCCTTTAGACAGAGAACTGTCTCCCATCTTGCCAATCTTTCTTTCTTGCAAAGGTACTTTCACCAGCTAAGCAGAAGGTGATTGGTGTTCAAGGGCTGGTAAAACTCCCTTTCATGGATCCTCCTTATTTTTGGAAATCAGTGGTGGACATCTATTCAGTCTCCATAATGTGGAAGTGCAACCTTAAATCTTTGCTTCAATGTCTTCTTTTCTCTCCTCCCAGCTCCGAGCTCCCCAGGTGCCATCAAATTCAGTGAGCTCACCACCACATCTGTCAATGTGTCCTGGGAGCCACCAGCCTTCCCAAATGGAATCTTGGAAGGTTACCGGCTCATCTATGAACCCTGCATGCCTGTGGATGGTGAGGATTCTAACAGCAGTGGGGGGGGGGTGTTCTTCAGCTTGGTATCTTCAGACCACAATTACCATCAGCCCCTGCCAGAATGGTCAATAAACAAGGATAATTGGAGCTGAGGTCCAAAATAAGGAGCTCACAAGGCTAAGGAAGAATTGAATCAGATCAAACAGCACTGGTACAGCACCCATCATAATCTCATGAGCATTTTTAAATTGCAACATTTAAAGTCTATTTTCTAAACTGCAAAGCACAGCCTATAACCCAGTCTCTTTACATTATATTTCCTAATATTGGGCTTGTAAAGCATCCTCAGATGGCCAGCAATAACAGAAGGACATTCTGCTCATTCACATTTGTTTTTAAACTGTTCTCAGGATGGCAGCTTTGGAATTAATTTCCTGGTTATGTTTTTATGGAATATTGTTCGTACACTGTTTCATTTCAATACTGAAATCATAAATTTAACAGTACTGTTATTTCCTTGTAAAAATGAGTTTTTGTCTGTTATCATAATTTTTGTGAGGTGTTCTTATATGTATATAAATAATAATTAGACGAAATCAGCCCACATGCTTAAATAGTCATACTGCCTAGTGTAGCGACATAAGAGAGATGCTTAACCTGGAAGTAAGTCCCATGTAAAGCAGGGTGATTCACTTTTGAGTCAACATGAATGTGATATATTGCATTATGTCTATCCCTTCTTTGAGGATAAGTGAAAACAGAAGCTAGGAGAGTGAAACTAAGCCTCAGAGGTTGGGGGTGTGATTGTGGCAGCACAGCTGCAGCTTAAGATCAACACACACAAGTCAATATTAATGGGTGTCTAATCTTTAAACTTTGGCTCTCTTCCTTGCAGGTGTCAGCAAAATTGTAACAGTGGATGTGAAGGGGAACAGTCCCCTCTGGCTGAAAGTCAAAGATTTAGCAGAAGGTGTTACATACCGGTTCCGAATCCGAGCCAAGACTTTCACTTATGGGCCAGAAGTAGAAGCTAACATTACTACAGGACCAGGGGAAGGTACGAGAAACTGGGAGGGGGTCTGCCTGTATATGTATTTAATGTATTTTATTTATATCCTGCCTTTCTCCAAGGGACAGGACTCAAGGCACCACACAACAGCTTAATTTTTTAAAAAATCACAATAAATCCAGATATTAATATTAAAATAGAACACTAAACAATGTTAAAACATTAATTAAAAATTACAACAAATTTAAAACACCTGATAAAAATGTTACATCATCTAAAAACTTTCCTCTGCCAGTGGAAGGACTATAAAGATGGGGTCAATCCAGCTCCATAAGGCAGAGAATCCCATAGACCAAGAGTAGCCATTGAAAACACCTTCTCTTGAGTCCTCACCAGATGTGCTTGTGATGCCAATAGGGCCAAAAGAAGGGCCGCCCCCAAAGATTTCAGAGATGGAGGGAATATATGGGGAGATGCAATACTTCAAGAAGCCAGGGCCCAAACTGTACAAAGGGCTTTATACATCGTAATTAACATAGCACTTTGAAGATGGCCCAGAAACAGACTGGCAGCCAGTGAAATTGTTACCTATATGATCCTTGTAACTGGCTCCAATTAGTGGTCTGGCTGCCACATTTTGAACCAGGTGAAGTTTCCAGACCATCTTCAAAGGGAGCCCCATGCAGAGGGTGTTACAGTAATCCAGACAGAGTGTAACTAAGTCATGTGTCTCTGCAGCCAAGTCAGACATTTCAGGCAATGGGCACAACTGTGCAAATGCACTCCTGGCCACCTCTGAAACTGGGCATCCAGGATCTGGTGTGAGCCCAAGATCCCTATTCCTTTGATCTGTTTTATGACTGCCAGGAGCACCTCTGTCTTGCCAGGATTAAGCTTCAATTTGTTAATCCTCATCCACCCCATTCCAGCTATCAGACACTGTTTTGGAGCCAGGAGAGCTTCCACTTCACCTAGAGATTTGGAGTTCAATTCTGGATATAGGGAGTCCCCACATACCTGATGCATGCCTGAGCAACAGTCACAGGGTGGCCAGGATTAGGTGGTTTGGAGTCAGCCACACAGTGCTGAGCATGCCGTGCTAGGAGACCAACTGCCATTTAGTCAGGGGTCTCAAGCTGGTTTCTGAAGCCATAGAGGCCCTATGTGCTGCTGCTGCCCCTTGCAACAAAGAGGAGGGAAATGACTCTTCTGACATGCTATTTCTATTTCCTCTCCAAATTATTATGGGCTGAACTGAAAGAAGGCCCCTGGTAAAGTCATCCCCTGATTGGCAACTAGAACTGTAAGTTTCAAAATGACACCTACTCCTCTGCACCTCTCCTCTTCCCACATCTGACATTTTCCACTTATGGAAAGCTAGCACAGCTTCAGCAGGGGGGCTATCAAATTGGGACAGAAGCCCCACCTCTCAGACCTCTGTCAATCCCAAAATTGACTTCAGAGCTTCAGGGCGAGTCAGTTTTGCTTCAGACTGCTTCACACCCATGTAGCCTCAGATTCACCTGTGGTCTCAATTATCTCCAGAGTCTTGCGTTTGCTTTGTGTCCATGGCATTTGCACAGTTCTAATGTAAAGGACCTCTTAAGCTTGCCTAGAGGGCTTTTTGCACTACTATATGGAAAGGAGAAGCAAGATATTTCAGAAATAAGTGTTACAATTAATATGAGCCTTTTCCCTACAGTTCCTTTGATGCTTGCAGTTTACCAGTCTCTTTTCTGCCACTGTTACTACCAGGGATCACCAAAGAAATTCCCAGTCGACATGTGGCAGATACTAGTCTTCATTCTGTAGAAAAAGCAGTGCCATGGCCAAGAACTGTTTGAGAATGTTACCATCTAATGCGGAATCCCTTCTCCCTAAAATAGAAAGGACCTCAATGGCCAGGCAGTGGTGAGAGAAGCTTTATTTGCACTGGTCCTGGATTATTGTCATCTTTCCTGCTTCATATGTTCCATAGCTGATCCTCAGGGTGATGAAAACATATCTTATTGTTACGTGCAGTCAAGTCAGAACCAACTTAGGCAATCCTAACAGGGCTTTCAAGATAAGTGAGATATTTTAGGAGGGGTTTTACCAGTTCCATCCTCCCATGAGTTTTCATGGCTGACAGGGAATTTGAACCCAGGCCTCTTCAGTTGTAGCCCATCACTCTATCCACTACCCCACACTGGGTAAATGAAAATGTTTCCCTTGGATAAGTGGCCCCCAGTGATTCCCTGGTTAGCTGCTCTGTGATCTCACCGCATAATTTCTCTATTAACAATGCCTTTTTATTTCGATTCCCAGGTGCTCCAGGTCCCCCAGGTGAGCCCTTCATCTCCAGGTATGGTTCAGCCATCACCATCCATTGGTCAAGTGGTGACCCAGGCAAAGGGCCCATCACCAGATACGTTATCGAGGCGCGCCCTTCAGGTACCGTTCCTGAGTTGAGTCCATCTGTGTGTCAAAGACTCATTCTGCCATTAAGAGTCCTGAAGGTAGTACAATGCCTGGCAGGATTGTTTCAGCCCAGTTGACCTCCAAGATCATGATTGCAGGAGAAGTTTAATTTCTGAAATAAGAGATGCTAACACATGAAAGCTGACCCAGCAGCTGGGCCATCTGGTCTGGAAGCCTGAGAGGTATCCGGTGGCATTTTATTTAGCGATAGTAAGAGGTACTCTACAAATGCTCAGAGGCATTCTCTTTAATATTCTGTCCATCCTATCTAGGCTTATACAGCCATAGCTATCAAAAAGCAGTGAGGATGCAGAGCAAAAAAAAGTTTGAGACCATACTTACTGTTCCAGCATGATTATCTTCAGATTCTTGGATTTGCTGTGTGTCCAAGGCATGTTTCTTTTGTGTATGTGCTCTGGTGTTTGATTTTGATTTGCCATAGCTGTTTTGTTTATTGTTCTTAAATTGTTATCTTTTTATGCTTTGTGTTGTAAACTGCACAGAGTGGCCTTGGCAGCCAGATGGGTGGTTTAAAAGTCAAATAAATAAGTATATAAAGAAAATGATTATAGCTAGGAGCACCAGGGCTGTCTATCTGCCAATGAGCTCAGGATCAACAAGAGACTCATCTGCCTTAGCGAAATTTGATGGTGATAAAGAACAGATATTATTTGGTGGTGTTGGTGGACTGCATGCCAACCCAAGACTGCTAAGCCTCAGAGTAGGGAAAGATCCAACCTGATTCAGGGAGGCAGCACCCTGAAGAAGAGAATAGGAGCAGAGGAGAGGGAGTGGTGTTGAAGCAGCTGACAAGCTAACAGAAATAGACAGCTCCCTCCCAGCATTAAAAGGCATAGTGCAGCAGGGGTCTATTGTTAGCCTCAATGGCAGTGATCAGGTGGAAACAAAAAACCCTCCCTTTAATTGCTTATCATGGCACATTAACTGTTATTTTGCAGCACAGCAATCTATCGCACTGCTGTGGTGGCATGCAAATTAGGAATTACTCAGTTAGGAAACCCCTGAGTCCCCATCATAGTGTTATTGTGGGTTGGATATAAACTAAATGTATTGATTATCTAGCTTCGAAAAACTTGCCACAATATGTGAGCTCTATGTGACTCAAGTCTCTCCCATGTATGTCATTATTTTTCCCTTCTGCATGTGTAGTTTATGACAGTTAAAAGCCAAGTTATCTAAATATAGGATTCAGTTCACTTCTATCTGGAAAACCCCTTCAAGAAATTACTTGGGGGAGAATCTCTGTCCCCAAGAGCATGCTCTGGCACATGAAACACTCAGCTTGCTCCCTGTCTCCCTATTATAAGGTGGTAACTCTGGAGATCACACTCTATGGCAAGAGGGGATGATTGATGAATCGGGGGGCCAAGAGGAGGGTAGATGCAAGGAGATAAATCACCCGAGTGCTTTGAAATGGACTCCAGCTTGCTTTTTAATGAGGCAGCTGAGAATAACAGTCTCTCAGAGACCACAGGACAGAGCAGATGGTGTGGCATAGAGTCTGTTAATGGCCATTAAGACTCATGTACTTTAACATGGAGCAACGTGTGCTGAAAACTCACACTACTATCCTGATAGGTGCTCTTACATATAATAGTACCTTTGAGCCTTCCGTGGGCTATTTATGTGTATGTGTGAATGTTGCTGATGCAGCATAAGAAGCCAAAGAGACACAAAGAAATATCAGTTCAGCCAGCATAGGGTGGGTTTTTTTGTTTTTGTTTTTTGTTTTTTTGAAAGCAAGAAAAGGGCCCCATGCAAGAAGAACTTTTAGAGTCTTCTGTGAAACGAGCCACAGTAGGGGAAACATGAGCTTTATTTTCTGGACTTTTCCCCTAGCCTTTGTATCCTGATTTTTATTCCTCTGAGTCCACAGTAGCCCTATTTAGGCATCCCAAAAAGGGTGAGTCTGAATGGATGATCAGGGAGAGAGAGCTCTATCTAGCCCTGCCTTCCACCTATCATTGTCTCCAATCCGAAGACAATACAAGTACAGGAACAGGTGATAACCTTTAATCAAAATTAAGAATATAAAACAAAATCAAACAGTGAGCTTTGGATGCAATATAAAACAAAATCAAACAGTGAGCTTTAGATGATAAGTCATCTTCAAGGCTGTGCATCAAGCAGTGGGTAGTTCCAACTTATATGCTGTTATTAATATCCCAAATTCATGCGGCTGATGATGTTGAAGCCAGGTTCCCTTCTTAGATGGAGGCAGTGCAATATAAAAGTTGTTTTCAAGTTCTTCCTCAGCTAGCAGTTTGGAACGCATGGTCCATTCTCTTATAACAGAGGACAGTAGGCAATCTGCCCCCCCCCCCAGCAGTTTGGAACGCATGGTCCATTCTCTTATGACAGAGGACAGTAAGCAATCTACCCCCCCCCCTCAGCCCCTTCCCTTCCTTTTTGAAACTCAAAGAATTTCTTTTTGGCTAGAGGAGGAAAGAATGCTCAGGAATATGACCTGCCTCTAAGAGAGTGGGGATTAGGAGTTTAGTTAAACCACCAGGAACTGTCCATTTAAGTCAAATAAATGGTTTTACGTGGTGGATGCTTTCTTTAGTGTGCAGTAGCCAAATAAATGGTTTTACCTGGTGGATGCTTCCTTTAGCTTGTTTAGTGTCAAGAGTCCATGACGTTTGAGAACTCACATTGGTCTTCAGTTGGTGTCCTGACTGGCCGTTCTATAGTATCTTTACAGTTCAGGAAAAATCAGGAAAAGGCTGCATGATTGTGGAAACAATACAAATACAGCAACAAGTGATACCTTTAATTGACCATTGAGAAAACAAAACAGAAAACAAACAGCAAGCTTTCGATGATAAATCACCTTCTTCAAGGCTGTGCATCACCAATCAGGAGAGGGTCTATGTGTAGCAGATTGCTTCCTCTTCAGACAGTCCCTCTCCCCCAGAGATGCTGACAAGCAGCAGGGCTAATATAGAACTCTCTCTTTCCAGCCTCACTCTTCAAAACTGTCCCTTTTCTGAACATCGGAACAGGGCTGGTTATACTGTACTCTCTTAACTGATTCTTTCTGTTCCCTTTTGCTGTCCCATATGCCTGGACCTCTCTCCCACCCCACCCATATGATGCTGTCTCTCTCTTTTCCTAGAAATTCCTCTTTCAAACCTACCATTTCTATTGAAATCCTTTTGTCTCCCACCACCCACTGTACTTCAAACCTACCATTTCTATTGAAATCCTTGCTGGCCAATGCATTTTGTCTCCCACCACCCACTGTAGTCACGCATGAGCATCTGCTTAGCTTCATCCTGTGATACGCATCCTCTTCTCTTCTCTCTCTTTTCTCCCCACCATCAAATATTATATTACAAGCTCCTAGGGACAAGAACGTCTGTTCTGCATGTTATAAAACAAGCAAGGATCACCTTGTTTAATCTATAGGTAATTCAAAGTAAAATCGGGAGTTCTCACCCATACAAGAATAAAATATAAAGGCAGCTCTGCTGTGTCAGACCACATTTCCTATTCACCCAGCAAACCTTTTAGTGATATCTCTTATTTACATGATAGAAATTATTCCAATGCCTTTATCCTTTGGAGAATCCAGCTTCAGAATGGTACCCAAAAGAAGGGAAGGTGATGAAATGATGGGCTGCAAAGGCAAGGTAGATGCTATCTCAAGAGACAATCTCCTTCTGGTTTGACCCCAACAGCAGATATACAAAATATTTTAAAACTAAACCATCATACACAGATAGAGATTCTACATCTACTGTATCTAAGGAGCAATGATATCTTGGCAAACCTTTTGAGGACCTTGTTCTGTCACTCCATAACTCTTTGGAGTTAGAGTTACTTTCGTCGTCGTTTAGTCGTTCAGTTGTGTCCGACCACCTTCATGACCCCATGGACCAGAGCACGCCAGGCCCTCCTGTCTTCCACTGCCTCCCGGAGTTGTGTCAAATTCATATTGGTTGCTTTGATGACACTGTCCAACCATCTCATCCTCTGTCGTCCCCTTCTCCTCTTGCCTTCACACTTTCCTAACATCAAGGTCTTTTCCAAGGATTCTTCTCTTCTCACGAGATGGCCAAAGTACTGGAGCCTCAGCTTCAGGATCTGTCCTTCCAGTGAGCACTCAGGGTTGATTTCCTTTAGAATTGCTAGGTTTGTTCTCCTTGCAGTCCAGGGGACTCTCAAGATCCTCCTCCAGCGCCATAGTTCAAGAGCATCAAAGAGATTCTTTAGCTTTCTTTAAAAGCTTTATACACACTTGAAGTGTATGCAGATGCATTTTAATGAAGTTGCTTGAACTTTAGTTGATGTAGGCTTGTTCAAATATTTTATAAAAATATGGAAAGCAATTAAAGATTGCTGGTGTGCACATCAGGCTGATGTTGCACATCATTACATGAATGACCAATTGTTTCTATTACTGTTTTTCTGTTTAAAATTGTGGTGGGGGTTAAGTATACATAGTTGGCATTGTGGTTCCCTTATTTACTTCCTAGCACATTTGACAGGGATTTGACCAGCATGCCTCTGTTCTGTATATATGTGTTTGTGCAACGTCCTGGCAAGTACTACATTGACACACACGTGCATTTTCTCTTCCAGACGAAGGGCTGTGGGACATTCTCATAAAGGACATCCCCAAGGAAGTGACCTCATACACCTTCAGCATGGACATTTTGAAGCAGGGTGTCAGCTATGACTTCCGGGTCATTGCTGTCAACGACTATGGCTATGGAACACCCAGTGCCCCCTCCCCATCAGTCTCAGGTAATATGGGTGGGCATTATCTTGCTCCCTTGGGCCAGGCCATTTCCTACTAAATCTTGAATTGAGGTAATAGAAAACAATGTTTGTGGGGCATCTGAAAGGCTTGCTTGATCACCTGTGCTGCTTGTTGTTTTGCAGCTCAAAAAGCTAATCCCTTCTATGAAGAGTGGTGGTTTCTGGTGGTCATTGCTTTGGTGGGACTGATCTTCATCCTCCTCCTAGTCTTTGTCCTAATCATCCGTGGGCAGAGCAAGAAATATGCCAAGAAGTCAGACTCAGGTGGGTACCAATTATTGCTTGAGCTCTCATTTCCCCTTCCTTTGGTTTTCTTTGGAAGGCACTGAACACAAAATGGTAGAGAGAGAGAGCTTTAAAGCTGCATCTCTCCAGAAGCACAGTCTCTCTTTCTAGGCCAAAGTAATGCAATTTAGAATTGTTTCTTACCACTATTTCTAAAAAGTAATGATCTCTCACTGAAGAGCCTCATGATGCAGTGGTTAAGCTGCAGCCAAAACTGTACTCACGACCTGGGGTTCAATCCCAGGTGGCATAATTAACTTGTAAACCTCCCAGAGAGTGCTCTAAGTGTTATGGGGCTATATATAAGCAGTACACTTTGCTTTGCTGGAATTCCTGACTTCAGACCTCTTCCCCAAGCCTATCCATTTGGTAGCATTTTGTGGATATTATTGCATTCTCTCTTCCTTTATCACTTCTTTGAACACCACAAACATCTGGAGGGTGTCATATTGCTTATCATTGTCATTTCCTTTATACTGTGGAGAATGGCTATAATTCTTGACTCACTCTTCGGCATCCTAACTATCAGAACTGGACAAGCTGACTTGGCCACTCAGGGGTAGGGCTAGTAGGACAGACACTTTCTCTAATGAGGAATAATTACACATGCAAAATATAGCTTTAACTCTCCTGTGTGCTCTGTGATTTGTCCTAGGAAATCCCCTTTCAACTGCTTGATTGTGAGATATTGGGGAGAGAGGTCAATGACCTTGTTGATGCCACTCCAAGCTGACAATTACAGTAAAACAAATGGTTCCATGCCTCATTCACTGTCAGGAGCAAGGTTACAGAGATCACTAGGGCAAGGGAATGTGGTGGTGTTTGCTTTGCTCTAATTGTGAGGAAAATCTGGATCTTCCTCTTAGACAAACACAGAAGATGGAGAAAACTGAGTATGTATGGAATGGCATTCTTCAATACAGAACGGCTGTTCCCCCCTCTGAGGCCTGCTTCATGCTGTAGGACTTTTTTTAAAAAAAAAATGAAATCAATACTATAGATGTACCCAAATGTAAGAGATCATGTATCACCATAGGTGTAACAGGTCTACCCGAAGCAAAGATAGCGACCACCCAAGTGTATTTTTTCCCGAGCAGTTAGAAAGTTTACTTTTGTGGAGTATAATTCTCAGAATCTCCCCCAGCCAGCATGCTTGCTGAGGGATGTATCTATAAATCTGGCAAGCTATGCTTTTCCTCCCCACAACCTCTGCAACCAAGTGAGAGAATTCTCATATGGGAACTCCGCATACTTTGCAGCACTGCAAATACAGGAAGCTATCTCAGACCATAGAGTATCATTTATTCCGGTTGACATTGGCCATTCATGGCTGAAGTCTCTTCCTCAGTTGAGGAAGCTCAAGATATTGATCAGTTTCTTTCCCCCCTATTTTTTTCTTCTTAGGAAGCAACTCCAAGTCAAATGCACTGGGTCACGGCGAGATGGTTAGCCTGGATGAGAGCAGTTTCCCTGCTCTGGAGCTGAACAACCGGCGCCTGTCAGTGAAAAATTCCTTCTGCAGGAAGAATGGAATATATACAAGGTAACGGGGCTTCCCAGATTACATGGGGAAAGCATGGTGGGTGGGACAGGGCAGACTAAATTTGGGATAAGCATTCTGCTGTCCCACACTGAACACTTTCTGTTTCTGAACAAAAACCTCAGAGCTTCCATGTCTCTCCCGAGGTCCCCGCCACGACCCAGCCCTGGCTCTCTGCACTACTCAGATGAAGATGTTACCAAATACAACGACTTAATCCCAGCTGAGAGCAGCAGCCTCACCGAGAAGCCTTCGGAAATCTCTGACTCACAGGTGACTCACACGGGGAAGCTGTTTGGATGAAATAGGCCAAGGGGGACCAAGGATGCAATAGAATACAACTCCAGATGATCACATGCACAACATGATTTTTTTCCCTAATTCAGTGAGGACTGGAGGTGGAGGGCAGGGGGAAATGCCTTTGTTTGTGTGTGTGTGGGTTGTTTGGTAGATTTTTTTAAAAAAAAATCAAATTTTATTGTATTTTATTTTGTATGGGGCTAGTTGGCAGACAAGCAAGTGGCAGAGTTGGGACTTTTTAGCCTCGTCTGATATTTTTATGTTGTATATTTATTAGCTCAATAGCGTTTGGCTGAGCTGTATCCCAGACCTGACCCAAACTACTTCCTGCCCCCTGGGACTGGCCCAGAATTTACAAGAATTTATTGATTTCAACAGTTGACAACCTTCATGCACACGGAACTCTGTAGTGGTAGTAAGTTCTAATTAAAATGTTTGGTCAGTCTTTGGAACATATTCACAAGAGGATTTTCATTTCTTGAGATCAATGGTGGAGTGTGGGGAGAGCTGGGGGGTTGGAAGGAGCTATTCAAAAGCTTTCAAAGAAAGTGCGAATCAGTCTCCCACTGTGAGATAGGGAAACAGAATTTATAATCTGTCAGCGGAGCTTAAAAAGTTACTTTTAAGGTGAGTAGCTGCAGTGGCAGGCTGAGGCCGCCCATAGTTAAGCTCTGGGACCCAGGACAACACTCTGTCCCTGCTCAGCTACAGCATGTCACTTTATTTATTCTACTTTAAAGCAGCTTCCAAAGTTCTGCTTGCCTTTGGGATGGAACACTAACACCTTATTAAATAAACTGGTTTTTAAAAAAAGTCTTGCCCGTTGGTGTTACGCAGCCCAGTGTGGATATGCTCAGATTATCCTCCTCTCTCTCATCAAGATCATGCTTGGAGAGACTGAAGTATGCGTAAATCAGGAAGGAAAGCCCTCCTCCCAATTTGTAGGCTGAATTCTCTAAGCATGATGCTAACAGGGGGCAGAGGAGAGTGTTTGCCCATGGCTTCAGTCCTGGCTGATCTAAGTTAGCCAACTGACAACCTGGCTGATGAAAATCTGAGTATGCATTAGTTTCACAGATCCTTCTAAGGAATAAGGTGGTGATCAGAGGGGCCAGCTGGGTACCAGTAAGGAAGAAGTAGGCAGACATCTGCCTCAGAAAGTCAGGACGAGGGCACACACAGTTTTACAGCCAGGCCTTTCTTCCCCTGGCCCTGTTGCCCACGGCAACGGGCACTAGACGTTCTGTGGCTAGCAGGAGCTGGCAAGGCTGCTTGGCTGGAGCAAAATGGCTCCTTTGTCTTTGTCTTAAGAACAGGGCTCTTGCCAAGGGGCCGGGAACTCAGCTGGCACCCCTGCCGCAATTAGGCAGGCATTGGAATTGCTGCCATGGCAAAGTTGTCCTTGCCACAAGTTTATCTCAGTGTAAATCTATCCAGAATGGATCATGGCCCCTGTCAAACGAGGGGACAAAGATTGAATGTTGAGGCATGGTTCGCACTCAGCCAGTGCCCAGCAGAAGGCCACAGGGCCACTGGAAGGGCGACAGCTGTGCCACTGGCTCCAGCAAGCACAGAATAGTCGGTGGGATTTCCCTAGAGGCTGAAACATTTGAGTCAGCCCAGTGTACTCCATCCCACCCACCGAAGCATCTTATTAATACTGGAGATATATTAATGTTAAATCAGGGCATGCCAGACCCACCAGTGTTTCTGCTACCAATTGTGCAAAAAGATTTGGGGAAGTGGACATGGAGTAACTGCTTAAGAAAAGGGGGGAAAAAACGCAATTAGAGTCTTCTCTTCTTTCAGGGCACAATCTTAATGTAAAATTCCAGTCAGGTTTTTGTGTGATTCTGCCAATGAAATATGGGAAATAATGAGATGTGTGTGTACTTACCATTATGAGCCTAACAAAAGTTTTTTTTTCTAATGGTGGGAGCAAAAGAATATTAACTTTATGGTGTGAGCAGGAAAAAGAATTAAACTGGGTGAAACCTATGACCGCAGTCCAAAATGCAGGTAGTTGGAGGGAAGTCCTGTTGGACTCCACGGGATGTGCATTCACTAAGCACAGATCAGTCGCAGGTGACTTTCTCAAGGTCACAGAGGCTGAAGTCAACTCTCCTTGGTTTCAGTTGAATGCCACATTTTAAAGTGCTACTGAATTTCTTGTGGCTTAACCCACTTGGCAGAGCTTTAGAGGTGCTGAATCAGCGTACTTGATCCTTGCAATCTAAGCAGCATACATAAACAGCTTCAGCTGACCCTCACTAATCTCTTGGGTGAGCAGAGGAACTATGGTCAGGCATATCTTGCACATCCCACACAGGGTAAGGATGCACTGGCCAGTGAGACTTCAGGCGCAGTGTGTTTCCAAGAGCACTCCCCTCTACTCTGGGCAGACATACACTGTATTTTACAGAAGACAGACCTTTTTTTGAAGGGTTTGTGGAGGACAGTCCTCTACCTGAAGGCATATTCTCTTTGAAGAGCTGCCCAGCCCAAGGCCAATTTAAAGATAAAGAACAGTAAGAGGAGGGGAGCTGTCAGCAGCTTTGAAGTTGTCCATCCATCCATGGGCAAGACCCAGCCAATAGACTGAGCTGTCACCCAGGTCACTTGCTCCCAATATTCCCCACTAGTGAGATTGGTATTGGATTTCTGCTTAAATTACAGAAATCATTTCTATATTTTCATCCATATTCACACTCACATGTTTTCAGCAAATCTCTCTTTGTTTTACAACAAAAGGCCATGCAATCATGGCTACCCTCTTTATAGAACCAAGTGACTGGAAATCCCACCCCCTGTTTTGTAACAGAGTGGCCCTGCCTGCTTAGGGAAAGGGAAACATGGGTATAGAAAAAGGCTGGAGGTGGGTCTTGAGGTTTTGTGCCAGAGATGCTCAAAGGTCCTGTTTTTAACTGTAATATTTGTTTCATTTTGTTCCATCTTGGATCTTACCTGCCCTGCAGGTCTGAACAAATGGGCCAACACAGCTCTCTCACCTCCCCGTTTTGGAAGTGTGTGATGCTCAGCTTTCATTCTTCTCACTTCAGCTTTGCTCCCCCTCTTTTTTTTTCTCCAAGTAACATAGAAGATGAGGGCCTTTTCCTCTGCTGTCATCCCACATCCCCCAGTGGAGCGAATATGTTTAAGGACCTGTTGAGAGCTGAACCAGCCCAAAGCTGCCACTTGATCACTTCCCTGGCTGAGCTGAATATTCTCATGAATGGGGTCTATTGTGCGGCTGCAAATGGAGAAGCTGAATTCAATTAGGGAGAGCAGAGGGAGAGTTGAAAGAAGGGAAAGGAGCCAAGCCTGTCCTGCCCTGGCTGGTTCCCTTTTTTCTTCCCTGCATGCTTTAAAAAATACAGATGTTCCCAGAGATAAAATAATTTGGTTGTTGGCTGATTATGTCTTTTCGATGCTGAGGAATAGAGCATTACTACAGATTACATTAGAAACTTAATAAATAATTCCCAGATTTTCTGGAATTTTAAATTGCCAAATTTATGCCTGAATTGTAAATAACTGAGTTACTATTGTTACTCCTATTATCAGTGTTATCTTAAGATGACACTTTCTATCATTTCCATTTATATGAAATGAAATCCACCATTAATGTCCATGAAGCATATAGTGTGGAGGACAGGATGAAGATGTGAAATGAGAAAGTAATTATACATTATTAAATTTCAAATCTGGATGGAATTTTGAGCACTGATGAAATTCTCATTTCAACTTCCAGTATTGATAATTGTGGCAGGATATTAAGAACAAGGCTCCCATTGTATTCTCTTAATTTGTTTTGTGCTATTATTTTGCCTGAAATAAAACAGAGCCAACCCTTCTCTGCATAGATTTTTCTTGCCATTCCTATACTTCCCTCAGACTTCCTCTCTCTTCCCAACATCTGTTTCACCAGTTCTCCTTCCTGTCTACAGACTGTTTCTATTGCAAGTAATCTTACCATGTGCAATAATAATTAACATTTTCTTGTTTCTAGGAAATGCAGAAAGTGAAATAAGTATTGCAGCCACAAAATAAAATGCAATACGTGTGTGTGCCTTGGAATTGCCAGCTGATTAGATATTGTTATTAAACAAATTGATTTCCAAATAATCAATTAAATTCAAATAAATATTACACTACCAAAAGTTAAATATAGATTTCTTTTCTAAAATTTTGGCCAGAATCCACTTGGTTTTCCCATTCAGTTTATGTCACTTGCTGTGGCTAATTGCAATGGTTTGATGAGAAGCTGGAGGACATCTTGGTCATGTGCCAGATCACATACCCAGTTGCTCAACTGAGATGTCCTCCAGCACCCTCAACAGTTGGCCACAATTAGCCATAGCAAGTTACAAAAGCCTGACAGAGATACCAACAAGATCTGTAGCCATTGAAAGAAATCTACTAGAACCTACCATTTAATCTAAAATAGCTACTACTCAATAGTTATTTTCTGCTTCATTCCCATTCATTCAGTTAATGTATCATGGTCAAAACTGTCCCAGAATTTTTTTTAAAATGCCCTTCACACATAGCCTCAGCAAATTTACTGTTAGCAATTCAATTTTGTCTGCGTAAATTAGTTAATTAGCCTACAAACTAAAGGGCTTACAGTGCAATCTTATACATATATACTCAAATAGAAGCCCTGCTGGAATCAATGAGGCTGAGGATGCTGTTCCAAGTGAAGGTGTTCTTTTGCAACTGCCATAGCTTATTTGTGGGATTTTAGGGAGTGGTGTCCCGATTATATTATCTTCCATTTGTAATGCCCCAATGCTTTTCCCATCTCTTTTCTCACCACAGTAAATTTGCTAAGGAGGAACAGAAAGCATAATTGTGTGCCGTCTTTTGACTGGGGATGTTAAGAACCCTCAGTCTAAAAAGCACCATTAATCCACGAGTGCAGCTTTAACATTTCCAATCATAACATGCATGCATGTCTAGGAGATGTATGTGCATTAATACAGATACACAATGCCGCAAGTTCCATAGTTTTCAAGTTTTTCTATAGATTACCTGTTACCTCATTTATTTATTATTGACTCATTTATTTATTATTTTTGTTTAACTCAAACATTACATCTCACACCTGTAATATACAATATTTTGCAGTTCACTAGCAGTTTAAAAACATTAGAAATACAATTATAAAGAACAAGCAAAATGCCAGTCTCAAGAGCAGCAGGAAATATATATATATAAACAGCATGAAACTAATTTAAAAAGAGGGTAAGAGCAATACTTAAAAGTAAACATGTTTTTCTGAATGTCTTGGCCTCATAACAGAATTATAACAAACCATATAGCTTGTCCTCTCAGTCCATGCTGCTAAAAGTGGCCACATGGAGGGAGACCAAAAA